TTGTTTAAGATTCGTCCATGAATTATAGTTTCGCCTTCAAATTCACCATTCCACATTTTCAGTTGTAGTCAGTTTCTGATATTGAACTATCATCACCTTATGATATTAGTGATATATGATTAAGTTGAAGTTCATATTATCACAGGTTTTGACTAAAATTTTAACTTCGCGGTTTTTCAACGATAAATCGGTTTATATCAGTTTATCAATAAAACTAATCTTCAACAAAGGTAAATAGTAAAATTTTGATTTGAAAAGAAAAAAACTATATATAACATATACTTTATTTCTCCTTGATTCACAATAATATTAAATATGACCTTTGAGTCAGAACAGTTATTATTTAGGAAAAAAAAAAAGAGGACGCATTAGATACATTTTCATTCAGCGTAAAATTACAGTAGTTAAATTATTTTTGCTAAATTGTTCAATAGTGGAATAATCTATACGATAAAATTGTTCAAACCACGTAGAAATATACATCAAAGTTTAAATAAACAGAAATCTCTACCCTCCCTCCCCCCGATTGACTAATCACTTAAAATGTTAATATCTAAGTTCACCTCTTCTCATCAGATATTTATACCTATCTGACTCTAACAAATTTATTCCTTCATTAAAATTTTATAAAATGTTGAATCAAATTAACAACAAAAAAGTATCCAATACCATATTAGTTCAACTAGTTTTTTTTCTCATTCTAAATGATGCTAATTTTTGTTGAGAAAATAACCACCTATTTTAATTTTGTTAATTGTATATTTTCAAATAATAAAACAAAAAGAAAGAATTGTATAACATTGAATGCATGTAATTCAAGTGATAAAGATTTTCCTTTAAAAAGAAAAATGAATACTGGAATAAAAATTTGTAAAACAGTTCCTAATCTTTACAAATTTAAATAAACAAATACTTCAAAATGTAATTATATTGAAACATAAATGGATGATAAAAAGATTTCAAATGTTAATTATTTTCTTTTCTTATTTAATTACAAATTAATTATAGTCAATAATTCATTTGGTATTGTTTTACTTAAATCTTCCTATGGATGTTTAGGACTACAATTGATCAGTCTGTTATTGGCATATGTGCATACTGTGCGTATTTGCCTCGATATTGTCTTAATTTATAAGTATTATAAGCAAAGATGGATAGTGGCTAGCAACGGAATCAAGGACAATGTCAAGGCGATACGCACAGTATGCACATATACATATAAAAGACTGATCAATTGTAGTCCTAAACATCAATGAGGAGATTCAAATAAAACAATACTAAGCGAATTAAACACCACCCCATTGCACAGGCAAGTGGCTATCAGGAATCAGTAGCTAAATGGATAACGCGATGACATTTGGAGCGAACGATACTGGGTTCGAATCACAGAGTGAATATCAACTCTGAGATGCAGTTACATCTAGCTGACGAGTCCCAAATAGAACGAAATGCGTGTCCTGGATTCCACTGCTAGCCACTATCCATCTTTGCTTATAATTAATAATGCCTAGAAGGTATAATTATTTCAATATTCATTTTATGATTATATTTTTATAATTTTTACTGATCAATTGTGACACAAAATCTATTAAATCTCATTAGTCTGTAAACAAACAGAAAAAATAGAAATGAATTTTCTACTTGCATGCAATTTTCATCACGAAACAATTATCTGTTAAAATGTGTTGGTACTATATTCCATCAAGATAGTTTTTCATCATAAATTAACATCCATTAGAGAATTATTGTAAGATCAAAGATCTAAAAATAAAGAGAACTAAACAAATATTTTATTTTATTTTGGAATTTTTTTATCTATTCCCGTCAATATCAACTCGATATGAGGTTGAAGGACAACGAAATCCCACTACAAGCATATTACTATTCAAACCCTAGTGATTCATAATCCAATAGTTCATATCCATAATTCTTCAAATGTAAGGAACTCTAATATATTATAGTATTTCATTTGATCATATGTGGCTAAGATTTTCGAAGCTGTTTGAAAATTCCTATCGTATTCAAACAAATATTATGAACAAAGAATATTCTTTCCAATAACTTTTCACTAGGCTATATATACGAGACTTGAAAATCACAGCAGGTTAAGGACTGGTGTAATTGTTAAAACTTCTCTTCGAAACATCAATTCAGATTTGTAACTAAAGAACTTGATGAGAACTTACTGTAAAGAATATGCTTCATTCATATATCTGTTTTACTAATTGAGATTAGAAATCCACAGATGTAGCTTAACAAATCCCTACGTTATTTCAATTTTTTAACATTTGATTGATTCGATTAGAGCCACTTAGATTTTTCATAAGATAATTAGTAATGAACGCTTAAAATTTATAAGACATCAGCGAAATTTGAAAGCTCCATAGATTAAATAGAAGATATATCAAGATATTTCTTTTTCATTACATTACTTACATTGCTAAGGACATGTAATAAGTAATCATGAAACTCATGGAGATCCTGAACTGAAATTGAATAAATCTATACAAATTAGGCAAATTCATTATATACACTAATCTATACAACCATAAAATTCCAGTTCTCTATGACACAAAATAAAAATCAAACATAAAATGTTTATATACAAATGTTCGCCAATTCCCTACTTTCGCAGTTCAGTTAGCGGGCCTCTGATGCTCATATTGTGGTGCACGCTTCTTATGTGGACAGATATAAGTGGTATGCAGTGGAATAAGATGTGGAACGGTTACTAGCAGATGATTGAAATGAAGAGAACAAGAAGAAAAACGGGGAGCGATCGGAATAACAACAGAATTAGATGAATGATAGAGTATGTTAAAGATAACTCAAGGAAGATATAAAAATGATGTATTTAATGTATGATATTCATATTTTACGAAGGCGCTGTGTAACTTTGCATAAAACAATAAATTGGGTTGTTGTACCTGAGTTCTCGTTCACTAAAATATTACTTTTGACAGTAACCATTAAGTTCGAAAAAGAATTAAAGTACGGAAAATTCGTAAGTTTTCATCACAAAATCAATCGCATTATTTATAACACCAACCTTTAATAAAGAAAGCATGTTGGTAGTTAGATAAGCAAATAACTAACCTCGTTCGATAACTCATTGTTCACTGTCAGTACAACTGAATCTTAACAACTAGACCTTATCAAGACCGTAAATTCTCTTCATTTTTGATCACCAATACTATGTAGATTCAATCAATAGATAACTAGCAAATTAAAATGCTCATATATAGGAATTATAAATTATTAAACTAATTAAAAACATGGAAAAAAGTACACAAGCTTATGAAAAAAAGACTAATTCTCTCACAGCTTAAAATAATGGTAATTAAAAAAATACAACAACCTTATGAGACTCCTACTGTGTTTGACCGTCTTTTTTGGATCTTACATTACATCTCATAAATAAATGTAGTCATATATTATTTTCCATATGTGTATATGTTTAAGTGAGTCTAGCCACGCAAAGCAGTTAAAAATGAAGCTAAATAAAAGTTAAGAAAATAAGTGGAGTGTTGGAAAGACGAAAAACTTTTCTTAGAAGAAAATGAAGACATGTTGTGTTTCACATTCATATTGCTTTTGTCTGAATTCTTTAGGCACAAATAATTACGCACGCATGTACACATACATTCGAAAAAAGAGAATAATGGAAAGATTCGCGAATAGAAAAAAAAAGAATAGAAAACTGTCGAATGATTGGTTTGTTACATTCAATAATTACTCTCTCTCTCTTTTAGACACACAAATGCGGTCATATCAGTTGGATATCATAGTTCAGATTTGTAACAGAAATCGTTTCAGTTTACCACTTATTATACCAAGACTCAAAACAAAGTTAACAATTGTAAAATTAATAACAATAGTAATGTATGTGACAATAATAACAGTAATAATAATCACTGAACAATCGTAGAAACAGTAAAAAAAACTGCTGATAAAAATAGGGTCACTGAATCCTTTCGGAACAAGCATATACTCTGTGTGTATTTGTCAATGTTTCTTTTCTGGGCATTTAATATTTAAAAAAACTAGTCAAAAAGAAAAGAAAGAACTCATGGTTGATGATAGTTAGCGATGAGTAGCAACCAACCTCTGATAATGTTACACTGAACAGTTGGTTATTCAATAAGCAACAATAAGCTTTGTTGATCGAATAAAAACAAAAACAAAATTGACTAGATAAATTAAAAATAGGAAAGCAAATAAATAAAATAATAGATCTTTATCGTATTATTTTTGTGTTTAGAGAAGTTTATCTGTGCTGTTTAATTTTGTTTTAGAAATCTGAAAGATCTATTGAGATTTCTACATTCATATTATACAGTCTCAGATCTCAAAATTTATTCGAAATTGAACATTTCTACTGTGCAACATCATTATAATGTCAAATTTCTTAATATCTTTCGTCATTCCATGTTTATTTATCCTAGCTTCCATTTGAATGGATGATTAATGGAAATTTATGTAAGAAATAGGCTATTGATTTTTTTTTAAATTTTCTATCAGATAGTAAAAGCAAAACATCGATTTTAAATCATGAATCAATATATGACATTTTCAGATAGATAGATAAATGTTCTGTATATTTCACACACACAAAAAAGAACACTAGTCTATGAAATGGCCATAGCAGGGAATTTTCCAGTTAATGCATGTCATATACATTCCGAGAGTGTACACAGACACACTTGAGCGTGCGTCAGATTAGATGTCAATTTTAAGGTCAAATCCGTAGTTTTATTATTGATCAGTAAGTATAGTATGTATATAATCTATATGTGTGTCTGTAGTTCTACGATGTGTTTATTCGTATTTAAGGAAATGAAGTTGGACAGAATTGGGAGAGTTTTGGGTTATTTTTTTTTGTGAAAATAAATCATTGAAATATAACAAAACTAACAGTGAAAAATAGATAAAAATAGAGCATTATGTTGTTTATGTCTTCATTAGGAAAGGGTAACACAAAAAACAATGATGGACTCTAAGTTTTCAGTTATATGATGGTATTTTGTAAATGGTAATGACAATTAGCAATAGTTATACTAATCTGCATGTATAAATGTATAGAAAATAACCAAAAACTTGAGCATGAGAGAAAAGAACGATAATGTTAGTGAGAAAATCAGGAAAACCATAAAATAAGAATAAAGCGATGGGAAAAATATGGAAGTTTTACAACTAGGAACAAATCAAAAAGTCTTCCTGAATTTTCTAGAAAGACTAAACAATTTATGTTGCAACCATGCTAGGCATATTATCTGTGACTGAACCAGCTATCGATGTTCCTGTATGAATTAAATTAGATTCATTATATTTTGTAATTGGTTCTACTTCTTTGAACGCTAAATGACCATTATTACAACTAATACTATTATCAGTATGAATATCTTTACCATTCTGATCACTTTCTTTGTTCGTTAAGGTCAAATGACTTTTAATATCTTTAAATCCTTCTATTTCATCATCATCATCTGAATGTAAATAATTGAACACGTTTTCACGATAATTTGAATCAGTTAGACTGTCCTCTTCTAAGAGCAAATTTACCATCTGTGTAGAAAGTAGAACATCATCTAATAGACAATCATTATTAATGTTGGAAACGTCATTTGATGTCGGTGCTTCAATGCTACCGGTTAAATTTTCGTTTGTTTTCATGTTTACTTGTTGTTGCTGGGTCTGATGCTGTTCAGCAGGACTGGAAACACAGATTGATGATAGTCCTGTTAAATTACTTTTGAAATTATTGTCCAAAAGTAAATTGTTCGATACATGATTAAATGTGGTTCTATTAGCTGATGAATAATAATTATTATTCCAATTTGTGCAATCAGCTAAATTGGTAAAATCTGTATTGTCTGATTTCAGATCTATTTCATCTGTTGTTACCATTGTCATATTGGTAGATTGTAAATGCTTTTCAAATGATGATTGCCAATAACTCGTTGCAGTATGACCATCATTATGAACCTAAACAGTATACATGGAAATATATATATCTATATATTCGGCAGAAAAGTTATTGTTCCCCGTACTAACAACAAAAGTACCTAAACGTTTAGACATACTATGCTTACGAACATAAATATTCATTTTTGCTACATTCCCATGTTACAGTAACAAACTATAAAACAACACTTCATTAATATATCACCCTTGAAACAAATAATTTCATGACTACTTTCAGAAATTATGAATGATTACTCAATCGGATTTGACCATTTAATATCAAATACAATTTAACAATAAGCTGCTCAAACTTTTAGCCGATCTCTTTTCTAGTCATAGAAATGAGGCTATGAATCTTTCTGTTTTCGGTTATGCATAATGACTTTTCAGTGTAATCAAATGCTCTAATAAAATAATCTTTAAACCGGATGAGATAATTACTGATAAATTCATACGGGAGCATCTCGATGGGTAATATACTTTCCGCTTTGTGTATTCGGAAAAGCAAAAAGGTAATTTAATTGGAATTCATACATTAAATGTATTATGAGATGGTAAGAGATGTTATAGGAGCCAAACTTGTCTAAGAGCATTTTCATATAAAGATGAATTGAAGTGATTAGTTGTTGACTAATTTTTACCAGATACATACTTTTGAATATTAATAATTGAAAGTGACTTATACGGTAATTGGTTGTAATATTTTATACTACGTGATGAGAATTTTATATTGTAATCAAATTAATGGTATTGAATAGAGCGAACATTAATATTGTTGTACAAACGTTTAACGTTAAGTAGGAACTATAACGTGGCAGATTGGCATGCATATAGCATACAACTCTCCTTCAACCTAGCAAATAACAGTAGCTTCATATACTATTCCATCGCCCTTGACAGAATCAAGCAACCCGAAAGTCACGAAAACACCATCAGGGCATATGACAGGCTAACTTTAGAAGGCAACCTATATGAAATAGTTTAAATACATAAATGTATATACAAGCCCTTCTCTCAAAACGGTTTTTATCGAAAAAACGGACATTCTTCGAAGGGATATTATATTCTACTATTGGATTTCCTATACATGTTCAGGTACACTTGCGCACAAGGGATGAAAACTGAAATAGTCTAGTCATGAAGATAGTACAATACAACTAAGTTGATAAATGAAAATACAATGGCCTATTTTTCAACGTTAGTCATATTTGTGATACAATGTAATTTTCACTCAGAATCATTGATAAATTATTTACTGTTTTACTTTATAGTTAGTTAATTTCATAGGCTACAGTCTTTTACTAATAACCAGGAGGTTATTTGTTCACAATGCTATTTGGATGAGCATGTTATACACATTTATTTTGTTATCCTAAATATTAATCACAATTTTAAATGGCTTTTCTGTAGTTGTTACGACTTTATGGGGCGAAATCATATCTAATCCAAGCTTACAATTAACAGCATTCTTAACTTGTTCTAAACTGTCAAGGGAATACAATTAAAATACGCATCATGTTTGGTTGTATTTTTACGTCGATATCAATCTAGTGACGAGGATTTTATAAACGGAAGTGTTCAATTTGTTTTTGTCTTATTTTCTTTCGTTTTAGTTTGAAGTCTGGATCATTGGATGTTTTGATGGCTGGATCCCAGATCCAAGCCTTGATGAATCCATGAGGGATCCAACATTCTGGAGTTCTTAAACTAGGCTAAACATCTGTGAAGTACTGACTGGTGTCCACTCCCCCCAGTTGACTTTAGTCACTTGTAGAAAAGCTTTTCTTCTCACTAATATAAACACTATATTCCATCCGAGTTTAGCTTACATTGAGTCAAATTTCTTGAAAAATTTATTTTCACTTCAAAAGTACAGAGTATCGTTTAAATGATTTGGCTCTGGGAAATGAAACAACTTCGTACTAGGCAAACTTTGAGGTTTTATGCTGGGAGAAAAAACATCAAAACAAACCAAAATCTAAATATACTCAAGGTCACAGCAGTTATTGATAAAACGTTTTCTTGGTCATTTTGTCAATACTAGAAATCAATAGACTGTGATAATCGACTAAGAACTATTGAATGGAATTCCGAAAAGAAAACAGTAAAACTTATATTTTTTTTAGAAATCTTGGTACTTTCAATCACAGATTACCGATAAATGAAGTATTATGACAAACAAATAAATATTGTATATATGCTATTGTTCCCGTTTACGATTCTTATGGAAGAATACACTTGATAGTAAACCAATTATTCATTAACTATAGTGGATAATAATAATAATAATAATAATAATAATAATAATAATAATGGGATTATGAACTTGGCTTGTTGCGTTCAATTGTTAAGTCTCGGATTACTACGATGAAGCAACTATCCAATCCCTTCCAATTTTTCAATAGTTTTTTCTCGTGATGTCAGTCCATCATGATAAAACTTACTAGTAATTACTTGTAACTATTGTATTCATTACCATTTGAAATCGGCTTATTCTCTTTCCCTTAAATTCTCTTCCTATAAATCTAAGAAAGTTTTATGCCCCTATTTTTATATCTGTATATAATTATTTTGTTAAAATGTATGAGAACTTAAGTAAAAGTACAACTGAACTATGTTATATGCTATGTTCTGTGACTTTAAAAATAACTGTTGAATATATATATCGTTTTATTCGTGCATTAAAAACAGTAAAGAACAAAATATCAGCCGTTCTAAATATTTACTGAAGTATAGAATACATGATGGATGGATCTTTTTAGTCTTTCTATACATATAGTAGAAGAATCAATTAAGTATCATTCTTTTATTTGAATAACTAATGGATGGATCACATTTTATTGGTACATATTATTTCATATCGAGTAAAAAATTATTTTGACATGAATATTGAATAATTATTTCTGGCCATTAATATTAATAAAAGAAATCTACCTAAAAAATCACTGAATAATGTAGAGTAGCACATAAGTTGATTTTTGGGGATTCATTATTTACATGACGTATCTTTGAAGTATGATAGAAATTGGAAAATATAGTTCTATGATAGTTCGAACAGGAATCAAAGGGCATATACTTCACTCATTTTTAATATTTCATAGCTAAATATAATTGTATTCCCTTGATTAATAGCATTCTTATCCAAAAATGAATTTAGAAAACACGTAGGAATACTAGTTCTATTCTAATAGAGAGTATTTTCTATTTTACTTTCTTATCTGCTTTTGATGATTTTTTTGAACTTAATTGATTACGTTGTTTCCCGTGTATGAACTCTTTGTAGATATGACTCGGTGTTATTGTCTTAGGCATCCTGAAACTTGTTTATCTCATCCATAAACTTAAAGTGGTCAACTCAAGTTACCATTAAAAAATTTAGTTAAGCTTTACAAAGGGTATATGGTTATTTCCAAAATGGTTCTTAATTAGAAATGTCAGCCAGATATTGCAGTGTTACTTGGAAATATTTTGTTTGATATAATCGCTTTCTCATGAAATAAATGAATTAATCCCATTTGATACTAGTTAGTTATCAATGACGAAGGACTTGGTACAGATGTGCTTCTATCCAATTTTCCACATCATACGTCAGTACAGGGACGAGAGGTTAAATAAAATAGTGGACAATATCTGTGTTCAAATAAATAATATTCAACTGCAGATTACGATTATTTTGCTGACTCAACTTAGATAGCCATCACCCTTTTTGATAAGATGTTTATCAACAGTTAAGGACTTTATGAACTGACAATGTTTTACTTCAGCCGCTCCTATCCTTCTTTCACAACACACTTCTGTATCATCTAGTATAGTAAGTGGCAATTGAATAAGTAAACGATATAAAAAAAATACATCATATCAATTAAACTAACCTCATTCAAATGAATCCTCTCCAAAACACTATTTGGACTAGTATCTTCCGATGAATTTAATAGGTAATTTTCTAAATTCGATATTAAAAAAGTATCGTTATTATTAATGTGATTATTATTACTACGATTATATGTATTTCTTTGAAGAAATGAAATGGGTAGAAATTTCATTTCAGATACTGAATTCCCATTTTCATGTAAATTTATATTAAGATAATCATTGTGATCAGAAATATTCGATTCATTCATTGTTATATAACCGGTTTGTTTAGTTGTATTTATATCAATATTCATTGGTAAAAAACTTCTAAATGCACTCATGTTTGATGAATTCGATGCATCGAAACGCTGTAGTTAAAACAGAAAAGATCCAATTTAACATTTACTATATATAATATTTATCTTCTGAAAGTAATTACAGAATATATGTTGATTTACATTGATAATCACGTTGGTTGAAGTTAGACAATAACACCGTTAGATACCGGCTCAGTGGTATAAAGGTTAAGCGAGACCGTAGTTCCCGGGTTCGAGTCCCACGTGTGGAGTATTGGATGAGCACTGCACAGGAGTTCCATACTAGAACGAAACGGCTGTTCAGTGCTTCCAGGTTCTTAATGGTGGTCTAACATTGATCGACTCATGATCTCAATTAAAAACTCAACAATTTACACAATCTCACACTGATAATAAACAGAATTCACTATAAATCAATATATAAACTTTAAGACTGATTTATCTCTAAATGCTATATTTCAAAATTTAATATACTCAAAAAGTTCCCAAACCGATACGTAGGTATCTTTCCACTTGTCTTAGTCTACCTAGCTGAAAGTTAATTCCGTTGGTTACTATGATTATGCTAGAGCTTTAGACTGCTACTAGGATTTCTTGTAACTTATAGCTTAATTTTTTTTTATTTGTTCAAACTGCGCTCAGTAAAAAAGTATAAAGGTAATACGAATAGTCAATGACTTGATATGGAGTTCGGAAGTGCACTTTCTTCATTAGAGGAATTGTAGAAATTTACGAACCCATCTCCAGTTTATATAACTTTTAATGGAAGAGTCTATATTGAGATGGTTTACCCTCCATTATTATGCTATTGTACAAAAAAGGTCACTAACGATCTGAAGATTAGTGGTAATATGAGGTATTAATCATTTGTGATGTGGAAACCGAGGTAGGGTACAGAACGTTAGTAGATAATTCACTTGATGAAGAAATGGACTTACTTCACCTTGAATGAGTAGTACATATTTTATCCAAGCGTGAGCAATCCCAACTAAAACTAACAATGTTAACTGAAGTTCAGTCGACAAATTTAGTAAGTGTCTGAACAATATGTGTAACTGTAAACTTCCCAGTAGAGATTCACTAGTCAACGGAAACCGATGATGAGAATTAGGATGATGCAATATGAAGTCAGTTATGACAACGACATAGCACTTTCTTTTCTGTTAAATCTTGAAAGTACTGTTCTATATCTTTTAATTTATATAATAACTTGTTTTATTAGGACTTCCGTAGCATTTTATCAATTCCACTTTCTTGGTTTCTTTCTTTAATCCTTCTCTTCTTAAGCTAGTACGAATCATAGAAATTTGAATACATCTATGCTTTTCAACATACTAAGTTTTTGATCTCTATTTTGATAGATTTTATCTAAATAATGAATGATTATCTTACTCGTTTGAATTGTATAGAAAATGACTCAGTTCACTGTATAAAGCATGAATAACTTTGACTGCTTAAACATATTTATTAGAAAGTTTATTCGAAATATACAATACATCCAGGCATTCTATACACCTGAATAATTTCATTGTTCAGCTGGAACATTAACAGCCTTTTCGATACAACCACATAGCGCAATAAGATATATTATTTTGAATATTAACTTTCACTTATTCAGTGTGAAATTTAGTGAACGATTAAAGTTAGTTCAGACATATAGTTATCAATATTATTTATACTTAAATAAAACTCAGAGCATCAGTGTTTTAAATTTGTTCCTCATTTATACATTGGATGTATGACAGTAGCTAATAAAATATACAATAGAAAGTTTTTTCATCCCCGTAAGATTGATGTTTAGGATGCTTAAATGATTGGGAAATAATTTTGATAACGATGTAAAAGTGTCAATTTTATTTAATCAAAATTCACAAAATAACTTCCGTACTTTTATACCTGAAATTTTACACATTTTCAACAATTTTACTAACAAAAGAAAAATATCTAATAAAATTATTTATTTGTCTGACGACATATTCCTTATGGCTCAGAATCCGTCAAAATGGTGAAGATAGATTGTCTTCCCTTAGATCTTGATTTTTAAAATTATCTTACACTGTTTTATTACATGAATTCATTCTTTCTTCTTGGATTATAATGTCTAAGCCTAGATGTTTCTACTTTCATTGGAACTGTTACTACTTCTAATACTCTACCATTTGACTTGATAATCTTCTCGCTCTGAGCTAATATAATAGAGCACCTCGGACCAAAACACATATACGCCATGTTTTACATTGTTTATGACTGACTACTGACTTTAGTAAATAATGATGAAGCTATGCTCAAAAATAAACGATACTGTATTAGTGTGATATTCAAAGAAGTGTCATAGTTACGCAGATCATCGTATAATTAAATATCTGACATATTCAGACTACCAAACATCACTGATGACTTTTATTTTTTATGATAAATATTAGTCAAAATACTGTATATCACTCAAGCAGCATATAATCAGATATTAGTCGTGTATTTGAGTGTAAATCAAATGACAGCTTAGTTGTTAAATTTTTCACCTTTCTATGCGTCAGTTCGAGGTTTCAATCCCATCTAGGTTTAGGGAACAGTTCAGTTCAGCGCGAAGTTCACAAAGCTGTTTATGGCAAATTAGTTACGTAGATTAATTATTACTCAATATGAAGAATCGCGAAACAATATACCTTTTTAGGTTTAAGATAGATTAAATAACGATTAGTAAATATACATATCACTGAACTGTATCTTTTTAAAAGAAAACAGATTTGTTTTAACTTCAACTTACTCCTTCCCAATACGCTCAGCTCGTAAACTTACAAACTTCTATAATTTATTGTTTATAATATTGACATCATTACACAGTAACGTTAGACATATTCCGTACATAGTCATGATATCTTAATTACAAACTGAAAACCATACTATTTATTAGAAAATAATTAATAATACAGTGAATGCTGTAACTATCATTATTATTTACCTGGTTATTTGTTAAAAAGTTGGTCAGAACACTATCGTTTGATAAGAAATTCTCATTAGCTGTAATAGTTTGTTGTACAGTTGCTGGGGAAAGAATACGAGTAGGTGTACGTTTTGGATGACTTTTCAACTTAGTTGAGCCAAATTTAGTTTGAGCAAAAGTAGCAGCTGTAAAACTTGGAGTAGATGTAGATTTTTGAACGAATGGATGTGATGAATTAAGAGGTTGTATGTATGTTGGATATGATTTCGGTAATGGATTTGTAAACATTTGATTGAATGGTTGATCAGATTTTGAGCACAGAACATTTGAATTCTCAAAATTTGCTGACAGTGCAATAGATTCTTTACCATGGGTTGTTGTTAACTGACCTGAATGAGGAGGATTAGAGGAGGAACGATGAAATGAATGGAATGTATTTGTTTTGGCATTGAAAATAACAGACTGAGTTGTTGATGGTGTTCCGCCAATCGGATCATTACCTGTTATAGATAAAAAAGATTCTTTCACGTTTTCAGAAACACCCCATGGAAAAGTATTCATTGTTTTTGACATTTCTTTCTCATGATACATTTCAGCTTGTAGGGGATTTATAGATTTTAAATCAAATTCATTTGGTTCAGTCCTAGAAGGTTCTTCCTGATTTATTACAGATGTACCGATCACAGAAGATTCATTGTTCCAGTTTGAATAGTTCAAAGCTAAGGAGTTTACTCCATACATTGTATTAGGCTCAAATTTGGTGTCGATTCCTTCATCAGGTTCAACTAACACACTCAAAGCAGCAGCTGTAGACAGTAAATCCCCATGATCATTTTCGAAACGTCTAAGCTTTGTTAGAAACTGACCTCGTTTACTTCCATCTAACATATTTGTATTGTTTGTAATCCATCCACCTTGTAAACTGTAAAGAACTTGGTGAGTAATCTGAGATGAATTTGTCAAGTTGGATGATGAGATAGAAGATGCAGAAGAACATCCAGATGATGATAAGGAAATTGGTGATGATGGCCAATGGTTCGAAAGGAATCTGTCATGACCTGTACAGTTAGATTGGGTGTATTGGCACACCACATGTCCTGGATCCACACTTATAATGAGACCTTCTGGAAGACATGTTTCTATTTCACTCCATTCTAACCCACTCACAGCTGCTGCTTCAGGAAGTAGAAGATCTACCTGAGGACCGACAGAATTAATGCACCGATAAGCAGAATCTCTAAGTGGGTCACTAGGGTACCAATGATGTTGGAATTTGGCTAGAAGATACTTTTCAAGTTCTTCACCGAAACTATCAACTCGACGTCTCGGAAGCTTTGTGTATAAATGTGATAATATATAATTTACTGCGACAGTTATTTCCACAAACATCGGGATATGAAAATATTGAAGTTTTAAATTCAGTTGCTTGATGAATGTATTCCTTTAGAATAACTTTATTCTGAAATATCTATAGAAGTTATAAAAATGTATTTTTAATTTATGGTAATGTAACAATGGCAATTTGTGATCACAGAAAAAAAATCAAATAAAGTTAATGCATCTCGGTACAATATGCCACTTACATGAAAAATTTTCTACTAAATTTCAGAAAATATATCACATATCAAGCATTAAAAACTACACAAATCCAGTTTAAGACATCAAACTGATTCGTGGACAGCTGATGTAAAACTATCGATTTATTGAAATATATTTAAACATAGGTTTATGGGAAATAATCAATTTGTTAATAAATACTCACATCTTGTAAAATAGATACATTGCTGATAGGGTTGTAAATGCAAAGTATGAGATTATTTCATTCAACCACAGCTGACAAGATTTACTAGGTAGAAATGTTCGTAACACATACCTACATCATCTCTTGATTGTCTTCCCTAAAATTCTCAGCACGGCATCTGACTGACCAGAGTGGAAATTATCCCTGTCTACATGTAAGTTCTCATTGGTTTAAATTAATGTGCATTCTAGCCTACTTCTCAAGGTCAACAGCCGTGCCCAAGAAAGATGTGTCTTTTCACGTGTTGTATACACTATCATGACATCTCGATTCTCTCACCCCCATAGTAAATGGGGGAAGGTATAAATTAAAACTAACCATTTTCTGACAGGCAATAAGCAGATCTTTCCGTGAATAAACATGACGTCACTAATGTACACTGACAGGTACAACTTGCTCGACCTTATTTCCAATCCTGCTTCTATAACTATCGAAGAGACAAGAAGTCTATTTTCTGAGACATTAAATTACAAAAGTTTTTTTGTCACAGAAGATTGTCAGTATTTGTGTGGAAAAGGTCGTGATTTTTTCCTGATTCCTGGGTATGTAATACGAATATCAACATTTTTTGAAAAGAGCAAGAACAAAGATTCTAGCAGAATAGCATGAATTCATTTCATTTCGTAGGTTCTCGTCAGCTGCTTACAACCTGTGATATTTAAAAATCATAATTACATAATGGGTTTAAATTGCTAACTGAATATTGTAAATATATACCTAATGTGAAAGAATATTCTACAACATTAATTGTGACAACAGTTCAAAAGCGGGTTAGAAACAATCGATTACATAATGAATAACATTGAAGGAATGTAGTGAGTAGAGTTCAGTTGAAAGATTATTAATTTGAAAGATAGTTGAAAAAAAATAAAATAGAGTTAATGACGTAATAAATGAAAAAGAGAAAAAATAAAAAAATAAAAAACAAAATTCTATGGTGCAGTGAAGGAATATTTGTCACCAGGGCAAGGAAAGATTAACCACCGTCTCCTTTTGAATACATAGGTCAGGTTTTTGACGCCTGATGGCAATGGCTTCAGCAAACTTCAGAAGACTGGAGTTTGGCTGCTTACTAATCACCCTAAAGGATTGCAAGGTATCTACCTGATGTCCTGTATCAAGGAGATGTTTGGTGATTGCACTGTTCAGAGTCTGGGACTCAAATTTCATATGCCAAAACCAAATACTGACAGGACTGATACAGAAGCTCAATTCGAAAATCTGTTTGATCAGTTAAAAGATTTGCAGCCAATGAATGAGGAAAAGAAAGGATGGTTCAAATCAAAGTTAGTTGATATTGCCGACCAATACCTCGTGTCATCAACACCAAAGTCGAATATTCTATCCAAAGAACATCTAATAGCCCTCAGAAACATCAAACGAAATAATGAGGTGATGATTTTACAACCGGATAAAGGTTCAGGTGTTGTCCTAATGAATACAGCTGATTATGTCACTAAGATGAAGTCAATCCTCGACGACCAACTGAGGTTCAAAGTAGATAAATCCCAAAAAGATTTGACTGATTCAACAGAAAAACGAATCACAGGCATGCTTAGAGAACTCCTAAAAAAGAAAATGATTGATAATTCTACTTACAACGATCTAAAACCACGTGGTTCACGTCTACCTCATATGTATGGTTTACCAAAAGTTCACAAGCATGACGTTCCTCTTAGACCTATCCTATCAATGATCAACTCACCACATCATAAAGTCGCACGCTGGTTAGCAGAAAAACTAGAACCAGTTCGTCGTAGATTAGCAACATATACGTTAAGAGATTCATTCCAGTTTGCTGATAGACTAAACCATACGAATGTTAACGACAAGTTCATGGTCTCTTTTGATGTAACATCCTTGTTCACCAATATACCACTCTTTGAAACTATTGATATAATTTGTAAGAATGATGATCTCCTACCTTTGCCAGCCCCAGAATTCAAAAAACTACTACTAATATGTACAACGGATGTTCAGTTCCAATTTAACAACACCACATATCGCCAAGTCGATGGCATAGCAATGGGTAGTCCACTAGGTCCAATTATGGCAGATATTTTTATGGGGTATCTTGAAAACACGATACTTAAACAGGCAGTTAGTGAAACAACCGAATACTCCAGATATGTGGACGACACATTTATTATCTGTAATAATAAACAATATGCAATCCGCCTGCTCAAACTCTTCAATAACGCTCATACTAACATACATTTTACTATGGAGCTCGAACAGAACGACATGTTCCACTTTCTTGATGTTGCCATAAAACGCAGGGGAGACGGGACAGTCCAACGATCAGAAAAAGTAATTGGAATGGCCTCTACCTGAATTTCAATAGTTTTTGTCCAATTAGTTACAAGAAGGCGTTGGTTAAAACACTATTTTACAGGGCAGAAAAGATATGTACCACCGACAAGCTGGAAGAAGAATTAATGAACGTAGAAAAATGTCTAAAAGAAAACTTTTATCCACAAAAGTTTATTGACAAATATAAAAGGCCCAAGGAAAAGAAGACGGTAATAACTATGGTCAATAAAAAACCAGTATATATAAATCTTAACTTTAAAGGTGATGACGTCGCACAAATTATCAACAAGAGACTGAATACAGCGATAGCCAGAACTTATCCGGCTGCTAAACTTTTAATTCTCTATAAAACAACATGTTCAATAACCCAATCAAAGATCGACAAGCAACCCTTTCAGGTTACCGCCAACTGTATTTATAAATTTACGTGTACCTGCCAAAGCAGCTACATCGGCCGAACTGAAAGGAGAGCATATCTTAGGTTCTTTGAACATGTTCCAAAAAGTCTTAGAACAAGGGAAAGGAAGACTCTGAACAGTGCAATCACCAAACATCTCCTTGATACAGGACATCAGGTAGATACCTTGCAATCCTTTAGGGTGATTAGTAAGCAGCCAAACTCCAGTCTTCTGAAGTTTGCTGAAGCCATTGCCATCAGGCGTCAAAAACCTGACCTATGTATTCAAAAGGAGACGGTGGTTAATCTTTCCTTGCCCTGGTGACAAATATTCCTTCACTGCACCATAGAATTTTGTTTTTTATTTTTTTATTTTTTCTCTTTTTCATTTATTACGTCATTAACTCTATTTTATTTTTTTTCAACTATCTTTCAAATTAATAATCTTTCAACTGAACTCTACTCACTACATTCCTTCAATGTTATTCATTATGTAATCGATTGTTTCTAACCCGCTTTTGAACTGTTGTCACAATTAATGTTGTAGAATATTCTTTCACATTAGGTATATATTTACAATATTCAGTTAGCAATTTAAACCCATTATGTAATTATGATTTTTAAATATCACAGGTTGTAAGCAGCTGACGAGAACCTACGAAATGAAATGAATTCATGCTATTCTGCTAGAATCTTTGTTCTTGCTTTTTTCAAAATGATAAAGGGAACTATGTGTATGAAATCAACATTTTTGTTTGAATATTAGGATAAAAAGTAACCAATTGAACAGTTATGATGTTCATTAATTGTTCAAACCTAGATACCACGGGTGTTTTATTAAACAACACGCTGTTATCTGTAGTCAAAGAGACCAAAATCAGAATATCTGACTCATTTCAAGACAAAATTCTGAATTTTCTGTGGCGACATAAAACTAAAACAATAGCCACACCGAATAAATACCATCTGAGCAGAAATATTTTTTCGTTCTGCAAAGAAGATCATGTGCAGTTATAATGAGTTGATTATCTATTCGGATGTAAGCCATAGTGGTGTTTTATTCATGTTTTGGAAAGTAATTTGTAAGGTACAGATCGCTGTACTCAGCTAACTAAAAATATCTCAAGAAAATACTCGTGAACAAGCAACAAACATCAATTCCTAAATGTTAGCTTTTAATAGAAGAGTTTGATTCTTGAATTTCAATAAAAAGAAAGTTCCTTAAATCTTTAAAAATAATGAGAGATTTTACTATTGTAAACGTATTAAAAAGTTGGCTCCTTATTATTGACTGTATAACTGCCTGAAGCTCTTCTAGGGTTAATGCCGGTCTCAAGTCCGGAGAAAGGGCGAGAGTTGGACATGGTGTCAGCTACCCCATCCCGTAGGAAACAACTTTGACTAAGAAACGTCAACCAGAAAACGCTTTAAACCATTTGGACTCTCTTTTGAAAGTTGAATTTTCTTTTAAAAGAATTATGACACCTCACGAAGAAAACCAAGATACTTCGGAGGTCATAAGACTGACAGTCTTTCCAACAACCAGAACAACAATAATTATAGGTACACTAAATGTCCGTACAATGTGGGGGATCAGAAGGACCAACTGAAACCGAACAATGACAGAGGGAAAAGTCGCGAAAGCATCAAATATCAAACAACCATATGATAAAATGAAGAAATTAGCAGGTCAGTATTGTATACCAGACCAATCAGTCAGACACAAAGAAGCCAAGCCAACCATTGAGATTTAGGAACAGCGGAATGGGTGGGTAGAACTCCTGGAAGAACTCTTGAGCAGACCAGCCCCATTGAATCCATTGGACATCAGAGTAGCACATACAGAGCTCGCTGAAGATGCCAATCCACCAACGACTG